AAAATATCTTAGCTCTAGCTCTTTGAGTTCTTTAAAAGAAGATTTTTTAAGTTCTTACTATATGCATATAGGGAAAATCAATGACCCCCTGGGGCGGGGCCAATTTTGACCCCAGGGCTTTTATTTGAACAAACTTGGTAGACACTCATTAGAAGATGTTTCATGCTAAATATCTTAGCTCTAGCTCTTTGGGTTCTTTAAAAGAAGATTTTTTAAGTTTTTACTATATGCATATAGAGAAAATCTATGACCCCCTGGGACAGGGCCAATTTTGACCCCAGGGCTTTTATTTGAACTTGGTAGACATTCACTAGTAGATGTTTCATGTCAAATATCTAAGCTCTAGCTCTTACGGTTCTTTAAAAGAAGATTTTTTAAGTTTTTACTATATGCATATAGGGAAAATCAATGACCCCCCGGGGCGGGGCCAATTTTGACCCCAGGGCTTTTTATTTGAACAAACTTGGTAGACACTCACTAGAAAGATATTTTCATGTCAAATATCTTAGCTCTAGCTCTTTGGGTTCTTTAAAAGAAGATTTTTTAAGTTTTTACTATATGCATATAGGGAAAAATCAATGACCCCCTGGGGCAGGGCCAATTTTGACCTCAGGGGCTTTTATTTGAACAAACTTGGTAGACACTCATTAGAAGATGTTTTCATGCTAAATATCTTAGCTCTAGCTCTTTGGGTTCTTTAAAAGAAGATTTTTTTAAGTTTTTACTATACACATATAGTTAAAAAACAATGACCCCCAGGGCGGGGGCCAATTTTGACCCCAGGGCTTTTATTTGAACAAACTTGGTAGACATTCACTAGAAGATGTTCATGCCAAATATCTAAGCTCTAGCTTTTACAGTTCTTTAAAAGAAGATTTTTTAAGTTTTTACTATATTGCATATAGGGAAAATCAATGACCCCCGGGGCGGGGCCAAAATTTGACCCCAGGGCTTTTATTTGAACAAACTTGGTAGACACTCACTAGAAGATGTTTCATGCCAAATATCTAAGCTCTAGCTCTTTGGGTTCTTTAAAAGAAGATTTTTAAGTTTTTACTATATGCATATAGGGAAAATCAATGACCCCCTGGGGCCGGGCCAATTTTGACCCTAGGGCTTTTATTTGAACAAACTTGGTAGACACTCACTAGAAGATGTTTCATGCCAAATATCTAAGCTCTAGCTCTTACGGTTCTTTAAAAGAAGATATTTAAAGATTTTTCTTTTGGTTGCCATGGCAACCAGAGTTCTGCATGAAATGGAATTCTTTGAACAATCTTGATAGAGCTTCATACAAAGAGTATTCCTGCCAAGTTTCATTAACATTGGCCTTGGGGTATCATAGAAGATGTCCTTAGAATATTTAAAATGTGGACGGACGACAGACGACGGACGCCATTTGGTTGGCCATCCTAAAAGCTCACCTGCACTTTGTGCAAGGTGAGCTAAAAAAATTAAAAGAAGAAGGTAAAACACAGAAAAATATTCTAAATACTGAGGGATATGTCATATGTTACTTTCTTGTAAACAAACACTGCCTGATATTACCCGGACCTATTGCTTTGGTGTGTAGTCGTGTTTTTGGTACAAGGCTAGTCCAAGGTATCAGACGATACAGGCTCAAGCCAGATACTGTTTTGCCAAGAAGTAAAAATATCTCAAAGCAACATCATATTTATAGGACTAGGTATGACACCTTTTAAACAAAGTATACAGGAAGCCCTGATGTTTTATGATTTCAGTCCTCCAAAAGAAAAGTCTGACCAGACGGCACAGATGTAAAGGCTGGCGTGTCTCTATAGTAGTGGCAAAGGCTAAAAACTTTTCCAGCTCAAGCAAGGTTAAGGAGGGTATAAACTAGTTCAGTGACATATATTTTGTTGTAACATGTCTGTATAATCATTTAGCAATTATCACTGAAAGGATGGTATATGTACTGGCAATATATTCAGGTATACATCTCTAAAGCAATAAAAGAAAAAGTTGACCGCTTCAACAGTGTTTGCTTGATAAATCAATTTTGTATATAACATTTATCAGCCTTTGCCATCAGTGTAGCATCCATCTACTACCTTTAGCAAGGTGTGCTTACAAAGGCACAGACTTGCCTTTAAACACTCATGTTTTAGCAACATTGTAGTCAGTTTTTACTTATATATTAAACCAATGACATGGTATATCATTTTAATTGTCACAGTCAACTATCCCCTACTAAGCATCAATTGCTAAAAAAATTTTGGTATAACCTATACCAACAAGACCTGTCCGCAGACAGCGTGCTGATAAAATAGTTAAAGATAGAATAAAGGGCATTATTTTGAGAACAAAATAATTTTAGGATTATCTGCCCTTTTAAAATGGTGTCCTTTATGACAATAAACATGTATAACAAGTTTTTATAGTTTTTGAGAAAATGGACCTTTACAAAAAAGGTTAAGCAATCCCCATGAGAGGATCATGTCCGAAAAAAGGAGCAATAAAAATCAATACTGACCACCACACAGCTCTCTTCACCCATAACTTGCTAGCTTCAATTGATTCTACCCATGTGACCAGTGCAGACCAAGATCACCCAACATATCAATGCTGTATGATCATAGTCTGCAATGTTTGTTATTCAGTCAGTACATATTTTAAAATTTTCCCTTAAAATGTTGAATAGTTTTATCCAGATTAAAAGATGGGCAAGTCCACTTTTAAAATTCAGTGAGGTAAGGGTTAATACAATTACAATGTACGTAGATCCCTTCTTGTAACATTACAACCACCATCACCAATCTAGTCATTGGATTCATAATGATTTAAAATTACTTAGTTGCATTTAATCTAAAAAATCTTTAATTTCATGACATTTTCCCATGATATTACCTCATTCATAAATCATTTTGAACAATTTACGTTTCAATTTAACAACTTCAAAATGACTGCTTCCTTCTATTATATTTAAATCCCATCTTGATCTAAGTAATATTTATTTCTAGAAAAAAAGTAAGAGAGCCTACAGGGAAAATGTTTTCATTGACAATCACACTTTAATCTTCCAGGGGAAGTGCTTGCTTCAGGTCACAAGCTGCATACTTTGTATATTTATATATATTTATTAAGCTATTTCACTCTTTCACTGCCTACAAGACAATTACACCCATTTCATTCACAGTACCATCTATTTCAGAAAACACAACAGTAAGTACGCTTGTTAAAAGATAATAAAATTATTTGATTTATTGATTTTATTTCATTGTATTCATCATATTTTTGTTCCTAAATTGGAAAAATCGATCATTTATTTGAACTTTATTCACTTTCTTCCATAATAATATTGATTTGACATAGTTTATATTCATGAAGTGAAAATAAACATTCGTCTGCTATAGGTCATTCTTGTTATTCCAGGAAAATCCACTATAAATAAACATTTACAGTAAAAAGGTAATCAAGCATTGGTACATGTACATACAAAGAAGACCTAGTTGCATCCCAACCTTATGTAATATTTAATACTGACAAACTATATAAGTACTGACAAACTGTCTGCACATAACTCCCAAATGCAGATCATTTTTTCTCAATATGATCATTTTCACAATGTGTGGTCATAAATGTTTAATCAAAGTGCATTACAAATAACTGAATATTATAAAATATTTCTTCTGGTAATGAAACAAGTCTGGATTTTTGCCACTAATTGGATGTTCAATCAAGAATCGTGTATATAACTTTGATTAGAAACCTATTTTTAAATATAATCATAAAGAGATCTTACAACTAATGGAATGATTGAAAAAAAAAAATTAATTTATTTTATAAATATTAATCTATTTATTTTGCATGACTAAAAGTCACGTTAACGTTTAGCAAGGACATACCCCAATTAGTTGTTGACTCCCTAGCTTTTCTTATGCATGACTATCTAAACTTCCCAAACATGCATGACTTTAAGCATAAGCTGACATAGTAAGGTTTACCAAATTATAGAAATTTCAAATGAATACATGGAGAAAATGATACGATATCCTTTTTATCATTGAAGCATGGTAAATGGAACATTGTTTATATAACTTCAGAATTTTTTTACATGGTACAACTAAGGTTTTACATGGTACAACTAAGGTCTACATGGTACAACTAAAGTCTACATGGTACAACTAAAGTCAAGGAATTTTAACACCATGTGAATACAACTTCTTTATTTTTATCTTGAACGAAGGCCACAATGTATTACATCTTTGAGCTAAGGGCAACAATGTCCACAACTTCAGATTTTTATCTTAATCCAAGACCACATTGTACACAACTTCAGAATTTTATCTTGAACCAAAGACACAATATATACAACTTCATATTTTTATCTTGAACCAAAGACACAATATATACAACTTCAGATTTTTATCTTGAACCAAAGTCTCAATGTTATACAACCTTTTCCCAGAAATTTTTTTTGTTGAATCAAGGCCACAAAATATCTTACTACAAAAACTTCATATTTTTTTTATCCCAAACCAAATATTTTGTTTTATCAAAAAACTTCAGGATTTTTTATTTTTGAGCTAAATGGCCACAAAATGTACACAAAGCTTCAGACCAAGACCCACAATGGTTACCATTTTTCACATTTTTTTTTTTAACTTTTGGAAATTTGGGGCCCAAATGAACAATGTGGTATTAAAACTTTTAGACTATTATCAATTAAAACAAAAGTGAACTGAACAAATCTAAACAACTTTCCTATTTTCTTTTCAAAAAATTAAATGAAACAGATTTTATGGGGCTTCATTTAAAGTGGGGGGGGAAAAAAAAAAGGACATTAGATCACTAGGTTAATTTTCACAAAGTTGAAGGAAATTGGACATCATTTGGCTTTTAAAAAGCTAAAGATAACTTGTTAAATTTTGGAATATTATGTTTTGGCTCCTTAAGCTTTAGCTACACATTTAGGACAGTATTTGGGGGAAAAAAGCCCAAATGTTATTTGCATTGTGGAGTTAAAAAATAAGACATACCTTTCGTCACAATCTGTGAACTTCATGTTCATGCTATGGCGTGAGATGAACGTTCTTTTATCCAGTGGCACTTTTTCAATGTGGAAATGGATGATGGGATGGCCTCTCGCGATTAGGCAAGGGAAATGAGGGAGTGGCCCTGGGCCTGGTATGGCTGTATTGGCCTCCCCCCTATCAGAAAAAATCATTCACTGTCATAGTCCTCCTCCTCCTCTTCCATTTCATTCACAACATCCGTATCATTATCCTCAGTGGACCTCAGTGTTCATCAGGTTAATTTACTTCCCTGTCAGTTTTTAAAATACCTGAAATACAGCCAAACAGGGCCAAACAATTTATTCATAACTCCAAACAACTAAAAACTTAATTTCCTAAAAAACATGTAAATTTCCTATATTTATTTTATTAAAATTCACGGGGCAAAAATTTGTTTGATATAATATTCATCTATTTAAAGGGACTTTCCAGAGGTTTTTGTTTGTTTTGTTTTTTATGTGACAGGACTGGAAATACATATATTTTTCAGCGAATTATGTACCTTTTGTATATGTCTGAAGCAATAATTTGTTTGCAAATTTTCAGATGAACCCCACTCCCAGGTTTTCCAGAATCATCATTTTTATTGCACAAAATGACTAATATAAGACTGGACTCAGGCCAGGGATATACATATAAAAAGAGTTATTATAAAAGTATATAATTATCTAGATCTAAAACTTGTATTTGACTCAAGTGGATTTTATTAAACCAGGATGACACGAGGCGCAGTAGCACTGAGTGTCATTTGTTCTTGCAAAATCCTCGAAAGCCACATACTCAGACCAAGATTTAATAACCCTTTTATTGTATACCTCCTTGACACAATATATTCAATTGTAACCTAAATCCAAATCACTGTGAGATACAATATTGATTTTCTTTCTGCTTTGTCATAATTTATTTATGTAAAGGCAGTAAATAATGCATTTTATAAGTAATTATCATTAAATTTTGATTATGTTTATATTTTTACCTTGTATACGGCAGACTTCAGATTCACACTTCTGCCTTTACTTGTCAGTGTACACTTCAGACGAATGAATATGGTCCGTGCAGCGGAACGTTCATCCCCCTTGCCATGTGGTGCCAGCACATCCTGAATCTCTTCATGGTCACATGGGTGCGCAAACTCGTAAATACTCTGCCCCATCAGATCGATCTAATGTGATGTAAGAAAACATATTAATAGATTTAAAAGCATGTTTTTGGATACGAAAACTTTATTACAAGGAAAAATTAATTCAATTCCCCACTCTTAGTAACACAAAGAATTTTTTTTTAATCTATCAGTCTGACTATCACACACAACATTTTCCAGATCATTTAAAACAGAATGCAAATAATTATGTTAAATATATGCCTTCAAAAGATATATGTTTGCTATAGTTCAGCATTTAAGGATTTGTTTATTTAAAGTCTAGAATGTCAACAATTTTCTATAGAAACTTCACTTATAAAGTTGTAATTTTATTTGAAACAACACAAAGTGAATGTAAAACTGAGGTTTGTTGCAGATAAATTGCCAATAAAAGTAAAATCTAGAAAGTTAATTACTTTTTTCTGTTTAACTAAGACACAAGAAAAAAATTTGTAACATGTTTGATCATCTATGGGATTCAATCCATAAATCAAATTTTTTGTTTGCTTTTTTCCCAAATATCTAATATGTTGAAGCACCTCATATAAATTCTTTGACAAATCAAGTAGAATAATTCCATATTTTACAGAGAAATTTTAGAGATACATTATTATTTAATAAAAGTATCACATGTGCAAATCCATATTCTATGTGTAATTTATTGTGTATTGCTGTATTTATGTTCAGGAAAGATTCTGTATTTATTTGACAAAGTTTTTTTATTTCCCCGTTAACGTCACGTTCTGTTTAGCGTATAGTTTAACAGACATTGCGTCATTTGTCATTTGTTATTTTATAAACGTCAATTTTTTCTGAAGAACTAAACGTCGAAAGGTAGAGAAGAGAGTATGTTTTCATTGAAGTGACTATATATTATTATTTAATCAAATGGTATTATAGAAACAAACAAACCTGTTGCAGCCCTAGAAATTTGGACACTGATTCCGAAGTAAAAATAAAATCTCCTTCTTTAGAGAGAACAAGCAGGAAACCATCTAGGGCTTTTGGGTATAAGGCGTCCATTTGGGCATCCAAAGAGTTTTCATCTGGTCTCTCTGAAAAGGATGGAAAAATAAACTTTATTACTGATCAATTTTTACCCCTACCCTGCTTGAACATAAAAAATTCCTGCCAAGTTTCATAGACAATGGACAGTTTCATAGACAATGGACAGTTTCATAGACAATGGACAGTTTCATAGACAATGGACAGTTTCATAGACAATGGACAGTTTCATAGACAATGGACAGTTTCATAGACAATGGACAGTTTTATAGACAATGGACAGTTTTATAGACATTGGACAGTTTCATGGACAATGGACAGTTTCATAGACAATGGAAAGTTTCATAGACAATGGACAGTTTCATAGACAATGGACAGTTTCATAGACAATGGACAGTTTCATGGACAATGGACAGTTTCATAGACATTGGACAGTTTCATAGACAATGGACAGTTTTATAGACAATGGACAGTTTTATAGACATTGGACAGTTTCATGGACAATGGACAGTTTCATAGACAATGGACATTTTCATAGACAATGGACAGTTTCATAGACAATGGACAGTTTCATAGACAATGGACAGTTTCATAGACAATGGACAGTTTTTTAGACAATGGACAGTTTCATGGACAACAGACAGTTTCATAGACAATGGACAGTTTCATAGACAACAGACAGTTTCATGGACAATGGACAGTTTTATAGGACAATGGACAGTTTCATGGACAATGGACAGTTTTATAGACAATGGACAGTTTCATAGACAACAGACAGTTTCATAGACAATGGACAGTTTCATAGACAACAGACAGTTTCATGGACAATGGACAGTTTTATAGACAATGGACAGTTTCATGGACAATGGACAGTTTTATAGACATTGGACAGTTTCATAGACAATGGACAGTTTTATAGACAATGGACAGTTTTATAGACATTGGACAGTTTCATGGACAATGGACAGTTTCATAGACAATGGAAAGTTTCATAGACAATGGACATTTTCATAGACAATGGACAGTTTCATAGACAATGGACAGTTTCTGGACAATGGACAGTTTCATAGACATTGGACAGTTTCATAGACAATGGACAGTTTTATAGACAATGGACAGTTTTATAGACATTGGACAGTTTCATGGACAATGGACAGTTTCATAGACAATGGACATTTTCATAGACAATGGACAGTTTCATAGACAATGGACAGTTTCATAGACAATGGACAGTTTCATAGACAATGGACAGTTTTATAGACAATGGACAGTTTCATGGACAATGGACAGTTTTATAGACAATGGACAGTTTCATGGACAATGGACAGTTTCATAGACAAACCAATTCTGAGATAGACAGATGGATGGACAATGTTGCCATTAGAATTCAGGGGTTTTTCTCTCTTCATCAATAGGCCTTTGTCCCTTGATTTTGGGAAAACATTACTGCTAAGACAGCAAAATAGGGAAACTAAAAACCTGGTGTAAGTTTGGATTTTTATGAATTCTGCATGAAATAAAAAAGCAGTGATAAACCTGCTTTTGTGTACGAGTGTCTGTTTTATAGGACTTCAGAACGGGCCTTTCAAAGGCCTCTGTTTTATAATGTAAAAAAGCCCTGCAATTTACAACATCCGATTTTTAAATGTTTTTGCATCAGCCAAATCCAGCATTAAGGATAGCAAGGATGTTATGAAGGACAAAATAATGTTTACATCCTATTTCAGTTTCTTGAACCCTTATCTAGTGTTACAAGGATTGCCATGCTGTAAATACTGAATTAACATGTCTTATATTTAGTCATGTTGTTAACCCCACAGTGTTTTTTCACCTTATATAATTGAGGCCTATAAAGGGCCTCTCTTTCAAATTGAGTTTTTCTTTGAAATCATGCAGTTTTCCCAAATAATCTGAACTTACAGCAGCTTTTCTCTTCCAAAATTGAAATTTATTGCAATAATTTTTCCAAAAATCAAGAGGCTAAGGCCTCTTTCCAATTAAGTAAGAAAATCACTGCCCGAGTTGCAAGTAAAGTCCTGAAATCCTGGTCAGACAGTTTACCCATCCTCTGATTTTAAAAACGGTAATTTTGAATGTAAAAAAAACACACACAAACAAAAATTTTCAATGCAAGTTAAATTCAAGTTTTAGAAATTTGAAGGTAAAACATTTTTTTACTATAGAATCTGTGTTTAGCCAATCTAAGAATTTCCATCACTAAAAATCCTAAAAAAAATAGACATGTACTGAACTGTGCTGGTAGGCTGATTTCACTATTAAAAAACAAAATTTAACCTTTCATGTTTTGTAAAAACTAATCAAGGTCTTGAATGTTTAACACCATGTAACTAGTTTAAGATTTTCATAGATAGGCTTTTAATTTGTTATCAATTTTGTATGAGAATAATAGTACTGAGATACTAGATTTATTTTCACGTGGTTTGTACTGTATAATGTATGATCTAAGAATCATACCTAATTTTGGCCTCTTCTCCATGATTGTTTTAACTTTTAATGTACTCAATAGAAGCCTCATGACGGAGGCCTTGTCAAGGGCATCGATTGTAGCTGGTGGCATCGGAAGCTGGCCTGCCAACTCCGAAAATATCTCCGCCTCTTTCCCTCGACGACTTCTAGCCGCATCCCGTGATTTCTCCTTCCGTTTTTCAGAATTCCTGAAACATGAAAAATAAAAAAAACATTTTATTGTTTTATTTACTTGCTCTCAAAAGTACATTAACTGTTAACTCCGCTATGTCAATAACATTGGTTTCTGTACAAATAATTGCACAATTTTTTTTGCTATGCACTTGAGATTCTCACTTATCTTGACAGGAAATTACAGCAAACAAAAACATATTTATTTACATCATCCAGAAAATTCCTGGAGTTTAAGTTGTAACATTTTTTTTTATAAATTTTATTTCATTTTTCTTTTTGGTTCCCCCCCCCCAAAAGGAGAAATATATTTGAGAGTGCAATAAAAACTATAGCAGAAGTTGTGTCAACACTTCAGAGTTTCCCTGCAAGGCCATTAATGGTAAAAGTACATTTAGACATTTCAATGCTATAAAATCAATTCACCATTCCATTATGGGATAGTGGCATGAAAAATATTTACATTGAACATTTTATGTTGTATAATAAAAACCTTATTTTATACACATGTCTTGATTAAACATCTCATAGCTAGGTGGTTTTACGTACTATTTTGAGAGAATGACTTGGGAATTTTCTCAAAATAGTAAATTTACATATGTTATCCAGATAAGTTGTAAGTATGAAAATATTATCATTCATAAAGATGAAAACAACTCTCATACATTTTACAACAACAACCATTGGCAATACTATTCCTGTTTTTGTCTAAAAGTAGGATGTGGAAGACTATTTTCATCTAGAAATAGGAAACAATATCAAAAACACCTTGACATACACTGTCAATTATAATCCACAAACGATTCTGTTAGATTTGCTCTCTCAAAGGGAGGTACCAGAATCAAGTATTATGTTCATTGTATTTTAACATCTTATAGTTTGGCCTTTTGCGGAAAAAAAAATGTATATAATAACAACCTTTACAAATATATCAAATTCAAAATAGCATACAAAGTTCTCCAAAACTGAAACACTTAGCAAGAATATGTACTTGTGATTGACAAACTCAAAAATAAATTTGCTTTTTATTACTTCCTAATCCTATATTCTGAACTTTATAAAAATGCAATGACTGTAAATATATTAATTAAACTATTTTATCAAATGATAATTTCATCAAAATTAATATAAAGAAATAAAGATGCATTACAAAAGAACATGTAAGTGTCTTAGACCTACTCATTTTAATGAATATAGAATAAAACAAATTGAAAAAAACCTGTTTAATTGAATATAATAATCGTAAAGATAATTCTAAAAACAAGCACCGAAAATTATGCGCCCTAAAATATTACCTGACATGACATGCAATTTTGGATCAAATTTCTACTCGTAAAAAGGGCTTGACAAAAACACTAAATATAGCAATTAATATTACATTTCTAAAGTAAAATATTGTCGTATCAAGTAGTTTTAAGTACAAATTGTACTTGTTATAAACAATAAAAAACAAAAAATTTAAATCATTCTGTACCATTCAAGCCTCTATACCTGCACTTTAAAATGACCGATGATTCATTTAAAGTTGATATCAATAAACTGTTGAGATAATGCAATAAAACGATCTCAATTTTAACCTTTAACGAGCCTTTCAAATCTTTCTTTATACAAGTAGTGTATAAAATGTATTTATTTCTGAGTGACATATCAGAATTAACATCAATGGTTGTTTGCATATTTTGCAATGCTATTAAAGCACAAAAAGCATATCTGAATAATTATGAAATATTCAAGTACTAATATCAAGTAACATAAACAGTTTAGGTTTTAGGTTATAAAGCATTCATTAATCATAAATGGTAGAATTTTGTCCTCTCATACATTAATTATAAATTAAAGTGCAGAGATAATATTTCATATCATATTTAGTTCTATTTTTTCTTCTCTCTTTTTTCAATAATCATCTTTATATTGAATTCTGTAAAAACCATAATGTTAATTACAAACTTTCATATAATTACATTTCAGATTTTCCAAAAAAATATAAATAACAACTTTCATTATCTACCTATATTGCGACATACTGGAAACTTTAATGTTTAAACTTATAAATATGGAGACTACCAAATACCAAAATAACAAGAAGCATGGATACAAATAAGGCTCTAAATGACTTCCCTATGCCATCAATATAGAGCCAGACCACTCTGAACTTTAAAGTACTGTCGCACTGTTGGTTGCTTATTTTAGTACATGTGTTTTTATTGTAAAATTCCTAAAATTAACAAGTTCAAATCATCTTTTAAGTCCACAATACAAATTCAGCAATAGGTTTACAGTGTCATGGGCAATTAGGCATAGTGTTCTTTTACATGTTTTTGTTCTCTTGGTACATGTATCACACAAATTAAAACAAAAGCCAGCACAAAATGTGAAAAAGAAGAATGTTTAACAGATGTAAACTATCTAAACTATCTTAAGTCATTGTCTTTGCTAAAACATTTCTTATAGTTGTAAATAAAAAGAATGAACTTTTAACCCAAGTGTTAAGGTCAGTTTTATTTATATATAAACCACATGATATTACATTAACAGAAATCATTATTGGATCCAATCTGATCAATTTAGCCTTGTTTTCTTTTCCAGAGTCCAAAAAGTCTGTATCAAATCCATATTGCACTCCATCTAGTCTAATTCTAATTTTCATTGTCCAAACAATATATCAAATCTATATGACTTGTACACACAGCTACAAATCCATTATTGAAATTTGTTGCGCCTTGTCCAATATAGGTTTGGAAGCTGTATTTCTCTTTTAGAATTCAGTATAGCACTCACCTATTATAATTAATAACCTTATAACATAAATTCTTGTATCAAAGAACATGATTTCTTGTACTCTTATTCAACAAAATTAGTCTTAGACTTATAAATGTAGTATTGGACTAGTCCATTCTTAGTACAAAGGATTAAAACTCAAAATAACAAAGTTGGACAAAATGCAAGGAGAATGATGCTGGCATAATTCTAAACAAGTCATAACTGTTATCACATACCTATCTATATGATCTAGAACAGGGTACAATACAGTGATACATTACCACTTGGATTAGCCAGTACAAGGTGCAATACAGTGATTGACTTTACAAATTGGATAAGCCAGTACAAAATACAATACAGTGATTATACTAACACACTGGATAAGCCAGTACAAAATACAATACAGTGATTATACTAACACACTGGATAAGCCAGTACAAGATACAATACAGTGATTATACTAACACACTGGATAAGCCAGTATACAAGCTGCAATACAGTGACTGACCTTAACAACTGGATAAACCAGTATAAGATACAATACAGTGATTATACTAACTCACTGGATAAGCCAGTACAAGTTACAATACACTGATTAGTATCACTCTATGACTATTCAACTTATGATAATATATAAAATGTTCACCTAATATTCAAATCTGTTGAAAATAAAGATTCTCTAAAATAAATTTTACCCTACCTGTAAGGCATGATGAAGAAATTAAATTTCCAAAACTGATAAAAAAAATTATAATTCCAAGAAAATGTTCACTTTATCACACAGAAGCTTCAACGCCCTACAACTGATAAGATAGACAGCAAACTTTTCAAGAAAATTTCTTAAAAAAAAACACACACAACAAAACAGAAACTTGTTTAAAGTTGCAGCAGTGGCCCTCTTGAGATAGGAAATGCACTGTTGAAAATATTTGGCAAATTATGACTGGTGAAAGAGATTTCTCACGGAAACATGATGCCTGCCCTACTTGCAGAAACTGTATATTTTGGTGCAGACCACTAAATATGCCTGCTAAATTAAGTAAAATCTGGCACGCTTATTAAGGCATCATTATTGCAAATATTGTTACTGCAATATGCTGACATTTAAATCAAACCCACTTGTTATTCTATGCTATATTTAGAATACCATACCAGAATATATCATTATATAGAGAGACTCAGATTTAATGATAAACATTATTTGTAAGGATTGTTAAAAAGACATTTTTTCAAACAAACTTTACTGTAAGTACATGTATATCTGTACATCTAAATAAGGAGAAAACTGTTCATTAAATAAACCATGTTTTACTGTCACAGTGCTGGTCCTATTACATGTACCTCCCAATGAAAAATAATCCAAATACCATGACAATTATAATAATGTTTTCAATGTAAACCAATACTGACAAAGTTTCAAGTGTAATAAATGACTGACAAGGTTAATGTGACTGATGAATGACAAACTTTCCAGGGTATAAGACTATGTGAAGAAATAACTGACAATGTTTCCAACAAGGTTAGATGTGATCAATGACTGACAAACTTTCAAGGGTATAAATAAATAACTGACAAGGTTAAATGTGACCAATAACTGACAAACGTTCAAGGGTATGTAAATGAATGACTGATAAGCTAAAATGTGACAAATGACTGACAAACTTTCAAGGGTATGTAAATGAATGACTGATAAGCTAAAATGTGACAAATGACTGACAAACTTTCAAGGGTATTTAAATGAATGACTGACAAGGTTAAATGTGACCAATGACTGACAAACTTTCAAGGGTATTTAAATGAATGACTGACAAGGTTAAATGTGACCAATGACTGACAAACTTTCAAGGGTATTTAAATGAATGACTGACAAGGTTAAATGTGACCAATGACTGACAAACTTTCAAGGGTATTTAAATGAATAACTGACAAGGTTAAATGTGACCAATAACTGACAAACTTTCAAGGGTATGTAAATGAATGACTGATAAGCTAAAATGTGACCAATGACTGACAAACTTTCAAGGGTATTTAAATAAATGACTGACAAGGTTAAATGTGACCAATGACTGACAAACTTTCAAGGGTATTTAAATGAATGACTGACAAGGTTAAATGTGACCAATGACTGACAAACTTTCAAGGGTATATAAATAAATGACTGACAAGGTTAAATGTGACCAATGACTGACAAACTTTCAAGGGTATTTAAATGAATGACTGACAAGGTTAAATGTGACCAATGACTGACAAACTTTCAAGGGTATTTAAATGAATGACTGACAAGGTTAAATGTGACCAATGACTGACAAACTTTCAAGGGTATATAAATAAATGACTGACAAGGTTAAATGTGACCAATGACTGGCAAACTTTCAAGGGTATAAATAAATGACTGGCAAGGTCAAATATGACCAATGACTGGCAAAGTTGTCAATGTCACCAAGTGTTAGCACCATAACATCTCATCTAATGTTCTGCACAACCAATGCCTCTGATACCTATGATTAATGAGGTTTACAAACAGAAACTATATTATAAAGATTTGCAGAAAGGCTGATAATTGGCTCAAAATATTTTAATGTGACTAATTACTACTTAGTGATAGGAGTTTCAGAGAAAATATTTCAATATTAATATGATTTCAAGATTATCTAACATCTTTCAAGTTTCTCAGAAATAATTAATTCATATAGGCATATTCTTCATGTACTCTGCACTATCAAGGTATTCCAACTGACTTATAAAATCAATGTTTTCCATTGAACAGACCAATGACACGAATATATTTGACAAATGTGACAGCATAATCAGTAATAAGAAAGGTTTTCAGAGTAACCAATGGCTGTTAATGTTTGCTGTAACCAATTACTGTCAAGATTCACACTTTAACTAATGACAGTCAATGTTCACATTGTGGCCAATTACAGTGAGAGTTTACACTGAGACAAAATCCAGTCAAGGAGACTACAGTCAAGGTTCACATTGACCTAAATTACTGTCAAGGTTCACAATGAGTCAATCACTGTCAAGGTTCACATTCATCTAAATTACAGTCAATGTTCATATTGATTTAAATTACAGTCAAGGTTCACATTGAGATAAACTACGACCAAGGTTCACAATGAGACAAATTATGGTCAATGTTCACACTGAGATTAATTACAATCAAGGTTCACATTGAGACAAACTACAGTCTAGGTTCATATTGAGATAAATTACAGTCAAGGTTCACATTGAGATAAATTACTGTCAAGGTTCACATTGAGATAAACTACGACCAAGGTTCACAATGAGACAAATTATGGTCAATGTTCACATTGAGATTAATTACAATCAAGGTTCACATAGAGACAAACTACAGTCTAGGTTCAAATTGAGATAAATTACAGTTAAGGTTCACATTAAGACAAATTACAGTCAATGTTCACATTGAGACAAATTACAGTCAAGGTTCACATTGATCTAAATTTCAGTCAATGTTCACATTGATTTAAATTACAGTCAATATTCATATTGACCTAAATTACTGTCAAGGTTTACATTGAGATAAATTACAGTCAAAGTTCACATTGACCGAAATTACAGTAAATGTTCACATTGACCTTAATTACTATCAAGGTTCACATTGAGATAAACTACGACCAAGGTTCACAATGAGACAAATTATGGTCAATGTTCACATTGAGATTAATTACAATCAAGGTTCACATAGAGACAAACTACAGTCTAGGTTCATATTGAGATAAATTACAGTCAAGGTTCACATTGAGATGAATTACTGTCAAGGTTCATATTGTTATTAATTACTGTCAAGGTTCATATTGTTATTAATTACTGTCAAGGTTCACATTGAGATGAATTACAGTCAATGTTCATAATGAGATAAATTACTGTCAAGGTTCATATTGAGATTAATTACCACCAATGTTCATATTGAGATTAATTACTGTCAATGTTCATATTGAGATGAATTACAGTCAATGTTCATATTGAGATAAATAACAGTCAAGTTCATATTGAGATAAATTACAGTTAATGTTCATATTGAGATAAATTACAGTCAATGTTCATACTGAGATAAATTACAGTCAAGATTCACATTGAGATAAATTACAGTCAAGGTTCACATTGGGATAAATTACAGTCAATGTTCATATTGAGATAAATTACAGTCAAGGTTCATGTTGAGATTTGCTGTGGGCATTTAATTGAATTTCACAGAAATTAGAGGCAACCCAGTTAAAGGACAAATTGTCAACTTTACTTTTCCAAGAAAATTCATGTTTCACAAATTATTCATGTCAACGAACGTTACGCATAGCACATAATTTATTTACTTAACGTAATGAAAAAATAAATATCATCTCAGTAGTATTTAATCTTTGTTAACGTTCGGCCTCGAAACTAATCAAAACAGAAACATATAACATTGCCACAGATATGACCCAGTTAGAGACAAATAGGTGAATAAATATTGTTAAAACACCTTAATGCATGACATATAAATCTAAAAATCAAGTACAAATATACGGAATACATTTACCTGCGTTTATGACTAACTGCCATGTTAATTAAGATTATATTTCCAGTGATATTATTTTAATTGGACGTGAGTTTTTCAGATTTCGTCAACTTTAATAGCTAGAAACTACTTCCGGGTTACGAAAGAGTTTGATTCATGTTTTTGATAAAATATAAAATCAAGCAGAATCAAATGAATCTTAAAAAATGTACATGTATTTTCTTTTTCTTGTAACTAAAGCTACTAGAATGATGCACATTTTGAAATATTTAGCCTATATTCTAAGAAAGGTCGTGAATTCACTTTCCATGCTCATTTAATACAATGTGCTACGAGTTAAGATATTGCGCAATAATATTATAAACAGTATGGGTAATATCTCCGCTCAAGATACCCAGAACAAAAATACATTCATGTGAAAATACACTAAATGCACAGGTGATTGTAATGCTGTAATGGATAAAAATGTACATTACTGTATAGTGTATGCAAATCTTCATTCCGTCATGACTAGGTGAATTTATATACCACAACAAATAAAACAAGTAGAGATTTTGATGCTAAAGCATCAAGTCGCCGGATAGAAAAATGATTGTATTATCATACATATAAGAAAATATCAGTTTAATTAATGGTTCAAGTATAAAGAAAAGAGAAACAATATGTTGAGTAACTGTTTATTCACAATTAAACATCATATATGAAGCAAACTAGCTTAGCAATATTGTCAAGGAACTGCATGCTATTATTATTAAATAAGCAAGTATTGTCTGGCAATATTGACCTGAGACTCATTAATTTTCGGGAGGTGTTTCGTTAGTTTATGTAACTTATTATTAATGCTAAAGATTTTATTGATAGTATAGATCTCGATATTAAATCAATAAATATTGCTCGATGGCCTAGTGGTGGTAAGTATGACGAAGTTGTGACCTAGTAGGCCAAGTTCGAATCTTTGAACATCCCTTTTGCAGTTTTCATAATACTATTTTTTATTATTTCCTTTAACTATATGAAACATAAGTTGATAAATCGTATTGCATTTCTAGCATTTTTTTATTTCAAAATTGTGATTAATTTTGTAAGGCGAGTGATATTCTTTTAATTCTACTTGTAATTCTACCTTAATTATACATATACCGTTATACCAGACATTGTATACTTCAGAATCCGATAATTACCGCCAAATAATTAACAGTCATCGAACATTTGAAAATATATTATGTTTTAATTATTGCATAAAACAATGCAATTCTAACGTAAAAGTGGTATCTGAATAAAAAATATTCTTATGCGCTATCGAAAAAATATATAATTTAGTTGAAATCAATATTCATGTCGTACATACGATATAGTTAACGTTTTATTGCCTTTCAGTTCGATAAAATATCAACAAAAAGATATTTTATTAGTTTTCTTTTAATGTTTACTATCTAATACGATTCCGGATCCCTACCGTCTTACCGCCTTGGTAACCTGCGCGACGGAAATCGACGGAATATAACGAAGACGACGATTTCAATAAATGTGCCTCTTTAGCATAAATCTATTTTGTGATGTTCAACCTAAACTAAACTATTGAACGTTGACAGAAAGGGCCAAGTTAAACCCTTTACCAAGACAAAATGAAAAGGTTTAGAAAACTTATTCTTTAATGTGTAAATTATGAGTATACAGTCCTTTCTAATGATATGAAATATGAAACTGATTAATGAAAGATAACTTTGTAATTATTTATACATCTGCATCTTATCAGCCGCCACAAGTTAGTTGCATGTCTTATCAGCAACCTGTTACTATTCATAGATTTTATAACAATAACATACATCGTGTAGTCACATGATTCTTACAGGGAGAGTCTGTTTATAATTAGATAAAATAATGAAATATAATAGGTCTCATAAGATATAAACATCCAAATAATTTAAATGTGTCATTTCAAAAATCATTCATGATTTATCAATCATAAAATAGCAACGCTTGACGCTTAAAAAAAGTAAAAGTATCCCTAAATTAAATGACTGGTCCATAGGGATACATTGTTAATTCATTTTATGAAAATTGTAATGTTGCTTTTTAAGATGTCAATATTTGTATATTTCATTTCATTTAGCAACGTTACTTAATGTTTGAATTTTTAAGATTATGAAAAGTAATTGTGGTCCTTAATTGTTCAGTAATTGATTTGCTTTTTTATTCAGATTTTAAGGCCTTCTCCTACCATAGATATAATATTAAACTGTTACAAATATAGTCGCCGGTTTCTACCGGCGACTAATAAAATCTTTGTACAACACAATTTCAGATTTTGTCTTTGGCAATAAGCCGAGGTATACATGTATAACTATGATTGTTTATTTCATGCTTCCCAGTGTTTTACTGTAATATATCAGATAATTATATCCTGATAAACCACTGGCGAAATTTATAGAAATGAATCGGAGATGGCATTTGAATACATGACATTGTATGTTTATTTCTAGTAATTGGAATCAATAAATTTAAGCATATATTAATTTGCACGATTCGAGCACTATGTAAACAACAAAATCCTATTATTGTAATTCTTAGTTAAATCTACGTAAACATGTATTTGATATAAACAATCAAGGTACATTATACAATTTCATAGTCAATTAATATTGTTATATCTCAAAGAGACTACTTTACGTGCTATTTTGCTTTATACTGATCAATATTATGATAATATATAATGCTTTGTATCGTTATTAGAAATGATACCAAATTACTTTTTACTTCTATAAAGACAGGAAAGTGATACTTGCAATCGTCATAATTTTACGATGTGACTTAGATACTGAAATGACAGGTTTTTGGTTCTTTTTCTAACAATAGACGAATCCGTTTCAGGTGTATTTTATCATGTAATATCAGAATACCCTATTAACAACCGTACCAATTAACAGTCTATTTACTAATTACCCTTTTAAAACCTGCTGGAACCAGAAATGTTTAGATTTTGCCACCAGTATCAAGATTGACTTAAAGCTTTTCGTAGTTTAATTCTTAAAAAAAATAACTATTTTAAATTTAAAGCAGGACAAATCCATTCAAGAAATTCAGAATGATTAATGGTTAACATAAGATTTTCATGTGAGAAATTTTATCCTGCTCATTTTGTTTTATAAACTTTTTTTTGTTGTTTAATTTTGGAAAAGATCATTACATAACGGTAATTTCAATGATCAAAATAATAAATTTGTGCAACAAATCTTTATAATGTATCTCTTTTGTTTGGCATATTTATGTTATGAGTTTATGTACCGTGTGAGGAGCAAATGGTTTACATAAAAGGACGGACAAGGACGTACACATTTTTTTATTTTTTTTTATCAAGAATTATATATTTTCATCAACCGGGCAATACCTCAATTACAATATACAGCATTTAACCATGCAAATATCCACGAAGGAAAAGAGTTATACGACGTTTCGATTCTTATCAGTGGAAAATAAGTAATCTCGGCGCTAAAAAAAATAAAGCGTCACATTAAAAAAAAGAATTAAGTAATAAAGAATATGAAGAAGGATCCCGTTAGAACACTATTGTGTAAGCAGCCGTATAGCTCATTCAATACAGCCACGGTACTGTAATGCGGCGTTCTCTGGTCAAGCTGCACACTATTCTTACCCTGTGACAGAAGGGAAAAGAAAATCCCCTAGATGTTTACTCCAAATAAACAAAACACGTGTAAAGACTGTATGTCAGTATATTTGTTTAAAATCTTAAAGCATAAAATAATGATAATAATAATTATAATAAATAAAATAAAATAAGAAATGACTATTATTTTTCTTATGCAGATATGTTACCTTAACTGAATTTTTTAATACGTGTAAACATGTTACGAAATATTAATAATCATTGACTTTGTTTTTTTATATTGTTTATTATTATTATTATTATTTTCTAAAACATGCATTTGGAATGGTTTTTGTAAGTTCCTAAGTATAAAACTAACCAATTAATGTCACGAAGACAGAAGAATATCCCTAAAATATGTTTTAAGGAGAAATAAAAGAAAAAACTCACCTGAAATTCATGTTTGTATATCCTAGAACATGTTCTCCCTCCATCATTACAAATCAAGTAGTCTTTGTAAACATAAGTTACTTCCCATTATTTATCGAAAATTCCCTTCAACCGGCGACATTGCAGTTAACATTGAATGAACATTACTCCGTTACTGGTGGTAACGTGAAAGTGATGGCCATCTGCGCATGTCTGATTTATATTTATGTATCAATAAATCTGTTACATATGTCATGCACTCCTCGTGTCCGTATTTGATTTACAAATCATCGATGCCTTTTGAATTATCAAATACAACTGCGTTAATTAATGCGTTTTATATACAATATCGTTTAATATTCATAACTAAGTTTAAAACGATTGTAGTGTTTTTATTCTTATTTCGCAAAGCCTACTATTTCTCTCGGTCTGTTATTTATATATTATGGTTGCTGATTTATGCCATTTTTCGTAACGATATATTTAATTTATACTACCCTGGACAAAGAAACTTCGTTTTTTTGTATTATCACATTCTCGAGACGAAAGAACGACAAAATGATGCAAAATAAATCAAATAAAGTGTTTTGATGTGTTCAGTTGCGTCTTCGCACAGAGCATGTGTATCTTTTACCGAACACCTTTTAATGTAATGCTCTCCCGCCAAAATTTCTACTCTCGGCCAATATCGTAATAAGTCGGTCATTTCCGGAACGTAATTTTTCCACAATCTTCGGTATTCAATATTTTTTTACCGTTTATAACCGGAATTAATACATAGCGATAAAGGATGAGTTATTGTAAATGATATAATGCCCAAGATTTTGAAAAAATAACGTCCAGAAATATTGGCCGATGTTAGAACGTTTTGGCGGGAAAGCATTAATTTGAAATTTGAAATCGACTTGCAATCGTAGAGAGAAAGCTCCAAAACATACTTGTATATGTGCTACAATTTCGTCTGTTAATCGAATTGAATTTGTAAAGATGTTATCGTCCAGACAAACGCTTTATCATCAAGTGATACTAATTCTGACCAATGAAAAGAATATCTCTAGTATACCACGGATTTATATTACAATAAATCCGTGAGTATACAAATAGTGATTTATTCTTGTATATCAAGTAAATTTCAATACA